GGCACTGGAGGAAGGTACAGAAGGAACTGGAGTTCATGCATGCTCTGGGCATGGTGCCAAGGCGAGGCCCCTGTGTCTTTCTGATCCTGAGCTCCTCCTTCCACACTGCTTCCAGCCTGGCCCAGCATGCTCCCACCTGCAGCTTTCAGCTTTGCTGCCAACCCTTGGGGCAGGGTTCCTGGAGCCCCAGGCCATGTGGGTCCTCTGCGGCCCCTGTACTTTTTGAGGTACTCATCGCAGTTGTAATTTCACTGTGCTAGCCCGGAGTCCTTGGAGTGGGCAGGGCTGCTGGGCCCCTCTGTCCTCTGCTCAGCACTGGGCATGGACCAAAGGATGGCCAACTGCCTCCAGCCCCGAGGCCTGTCCCAGGGCTCTCTGGTCTCCACTCCTGCAATGACAACCAGGAACTAATGCTACTCTCCTGAACCCTTTGGACGAGGCCCTAGGACAAAGAAAGGGTGACTTCTTGGCCACAAGTCTGCCCTTGGCAGGTGGTCCAGGAAGTTGCTACCCACCTCTGTCTCGCTAGTACTCCCGCCCATCTGCGCCCCTGCCTACCCAAGTGGGTCAGCTCCCTTTTCCGTGGCCTTGCAGGTGCCTTGGACTGCACAGCCCCAATTGTCCAGACCCTTCTGATCTCAGCTCCACCCCCACCTTGAGCTGGGATTTAGGGGTTACCCCAAGATGGACCCTAAGCTCATGTTGTGGGCACAGGTGCAGGGGCAGTAAGAATTCCCATGGACTCTGGCCTGGCATGTGGAGCCCTCTCTGCTCCCTGATTCTCTGCCTCCCACCCACACCCCCACCTCCGACATGCGCCAGACCACCTATAACTGCCAGACTATTGGAGCAGAACGTCCACTCATTCACCACCTGCTCTCAAACACTTGGATGGCCCAGTCACTGTGCTATGTGTGGGATCCAACACATTCATTCCATTAACAAACATTTTCTGAGTGCCTACTGTGTGCTAGGCATTGCTCTAAAGTGATGGGGTGGAGCAGTGAGCCAAAAAACGTCCAGCTCTCATGGAGTTTACTTCTCAAGGGGAAGTCAGGAAGCAGAGAATGGAGAAAAGCAGGAAGGAGCAGAAAAGGATGAGAGGGTCTCCTCACAGGTCTTACTGTGACATCTGGCAAAGTGGGGCAGGAAGTCACGTGACTTTGTGTGGACGAGCCATCCAGGTAGGAGAGACAGCAAGTGCAAAGGCCCTGAGGCAGGCCTACTTCTTTCAGGTCCATGAGAACTATAGCAGGCCTCTAGCCTGCTGTAAATCTCCGCCTCCTCACCCAGGACTGGTTTGTGCAGGGGGTGGGGATCTATGGGCAGAAGCTGCTGGCAAGGAGACACAATTGTCTTAACAGGGGTTAGCTGGAACAGGCTGGGGGACATCCCACTTCTCATTCTGGCTCTTAGAGCACCACCTGAACTTGTTTCAAAACAAGTGCATGTATTACTTTTAGACTTAATAAAGTTAGTTTCTAAAAGGAAGTTTTGTCTCCATGTGACTGAAGCTACTCTCATATTTTTCACAAGGAAGCTTATAAACAGCAAGGTATTTAAAACCCAATAGCTACAATAACAAGGCAAGGGAGGAGCAGCCCCTGCATGGTTGGATTCTGGTCACAGGGCAACGGGGAAGGAGGAGGCGTGTGAAGTAGGCAGCCCCTCGGGATGCAGTGTGGCCTTCTGGGGGCTTTGGTGATATCCAGACTTCTGGCCCTGCTGACGGTGTGGCTCTCTCCTTCCCAGCTCAGCCCAGCCCTGAGCCTACTGGCCTCTTCACTGAGCCCCTGGACTGTTGTCCCTGGTGCTAGGCGTCTTGGTAAATGCAAACGTGGCCACGGGCAAGGACAGACCCTAACCTCCCCCTCGG